GAAGGCCTAATGGCTGTTAGTGAGGGAGTGGGTAAAACACAGTGTGTCCAATCTCCCATACCTGCACGGCTGAGAACTGTTTTCAAGGTTATTCTGGGGTCACCATGGCCAAGAGAAGGTCTGTTCACTGAGTTGAGGGGCTTAGAATTTTACTTCTATTTCTCAATAGTCATATTAGGAGGAGGGCTTCAACATGTAAATTTGTGGAAAGGACACAGACAAAATTCAGTCCATAACCAGATTACTTAGAGGCAAATAAAAATGAGTCAAGAATACTAACCAGGCCAAAGAATTGAACCTGTATACTGTCAGTCATAGAAAGATGTTGAAAGTCTTGATAGTGGTTATAAAAATGTTTTCAGGAGAGGCATCACCTTTTTGTTTTCCTGTTCTATAAAATAAGGACTGTTTCCCAGGAGCCCTTTCAGACTGTTAGACTGTGATTACTGGCTACATTTTAGAAAATTAATCTCTTAGAATTGCTAACTCTGTCTGATACATGGGCTATGAAGCAATTATATCACCAAAAGTTAGATAATTTGTAAGGGTAATTGTTTTTTATTCTAAAAGGGCTAACAATTAATAGAGTAGCTGCTGCCAAGAGCAACAGAATCCTGCAAGCTCTTAGTATCATCAAATAAATATTAAGACCAAATAAGATGGCCCAGGCGCAGTGGCTCACACCTGCAATCCCAGCACTTTGGGAGGCTGAGGTGGGTGGATCACTTGAGGTCAGGAGCTCGAGATCAGCCTGGCCAACATGGCTTCTCAGGAAGCTGAGGAATGAAAATCGCTTGAGCCTAGGAGGCGGAGGTCGCACTGAGCCATGATCATGCCACTGAACCCCAGGTGGGTGACCGAGTGAGACTCTGTCTCAAAAAAGAAGATAAAAAGACAGAATAAGATGTGTCTGTGAGATTTTTTAAGTTGGACAATTCTGGAATGATTAGCTTGCACCATAAGGGGTATTTGTAAACACCGTTCCAAGGCCTTACTTTCATACAGTTTCCAAAAGAAATACCGGGTCTTCTTTAACTCCCTGCTCAGTAAAGTGTGAATTGAAAGACAATATTGCATCCCAAAGGGCCAGAGCTGGCAGGATACTTCTGAAATTACTCATTTCCAACTCTCACATCACAGATGAGTAAGCTAAAGCCCAGAGGTACACATTGATTGACCTGAGAGAGCCCCTCAGATATTTATTGGAAAAGCTTGCCTGACACAAACAAGAAGTAAGTCTCAGAGGTCTGACCGGTGAAAAACCAGAACTGCTCTAAAATTTAACCAACATTATGTAGTACCTGCTGTGTCCCAGGCACTGCTTAAGTCAGTTTCTCTGCTCTCCATAGAAAGTACTTAGGGATGTGAAAAGGCAGCTTCTGATTCAGCAGGTCTGGGGCCAGGTCGGAGATTATGCATTTCTCTTATAACAAGCCCCTAGGTATGGCTGATGATGCTGGTCTGAAGACCACACTTTGAGTAGGAGGGGTCCAAGTACTTTCTTTTTCTTTCTTTCTTTCTTTCTTTCATTCGGGATTCATTCATTCATTCATTTGAGATTCATTCATTCATTTATTTGAGATGGAGTCTCACTCTGTGGCCCAGGCTGGAGTGCAGTGGCACAATCTCAGCTCACTGCAACCTCCACCTGCCAGGTTCAAGCAATTCTCCTGCCTCAGCTTCCCAAGTAGCTGGGACTACAGGTACACATCACCATACCCAGCTAATTTTTGTATTTTTTAGTAGAGACAAGGTTTCACCATGTTGGCCAGGCTAGTAACTCCTGACGACAAGTCATCATCCACCTCCACCGTCCAAAGTGCTGGGACACAGGCGTGCGCCAACATGCCTGGCCCAAGTACTTTATAAATATCAACTCTTCTATTCTCCAGAATAATCCTGCTACTGATACAGATACAGGTACTGTTACTATCCCAATTTTACAGAGGGGGAAAGTAAGGCACAGGAAAGAAAGTGAGTTGTCTAAGGCCACACAGCCAGAAAGAGCCAGAGTCAGGATTTGCACCCAAACAGCCTATTACCTGTGTTCTTAACTACCATTTTACCCGCACATTTGGTTTTTTTTGTTTTTTTAATTTTTTTATTGGATTTTAGGTTTTGGGGTACATGAGCAGAGCATAGAAGACAGTTGCGTAGGTACACACATGGCAGTGTGCTTTGCTTTCCTTTTCCCCTTCACCCACATTTGGCATTTCTCCCCAGGCTATCCCTCCCCACCTCCCCCTCCCACTGGCCCTCCCCTTTTCCCCCCATAGACCCCAGTGCTTAGTACTCCCCTTTCTGTGTCCATGTGTTCTCATTTTTCATCACCCGCCTAGGAGTGAGAATATGCAGTGTTTCATTTTCTGTTCTTGTGTCAGTTTGCTGAGGATGATGTTCTCCAGATTCATCCATGTCCCTACAAATGACACAAACTCATCATTTCTGATTGCTGCATAATATTCCATGGTGTATATGTGCCACATTTTTCCAATCCAGTCTATTATCAATGGCATTTGGGTTGATTCCAGGTCTTTGCTATTGTAAACAGTGCTGCAATGAACATTCGTGTACATGTGTCCTTATAGTAGAACGATTTATACTCTTTTGGATATATGCCAGGTAATGGGATTGCTGGGTCAAATGGAATTTCTATTTCTAAGGCCTTGAGGAATCGCCACACTGTCTTCCACAATGGTTGAACTAATTTGCACTCCCACAAACAGTGTAAAAGTGTTCCTTTTTCTCCACATCCTCTCCAGCATCTGTTGTCTCCAGATTTTTTAATGATCGCCATTCTAACTGGCGTGAGATGGTATCTCAATGCGGTATCTCTGATGGTATCTCTGATGACCAGTGAAGATGAGCATTTTTTCATATGATTGTTGGCCTCATATATGTCTTCTTTCGTAAAGTGTCGGTTCATATCCTTTGCCCACTTTTGAATGGGCTTGTTCGTTTTTTTCCTGTAAGTCTGTTTGAGTTCTTTGTAAATTCTGGATATCAGCCCTTTGTCAGATGGGTAAAGTGCAAAATTTTTTTCCCATTCTGTTGGTTGCCAATCCACTCTAGTGACTGTTTCTTTTGCCGTGCAGAAGCTGTGGAGTTTCATTAGGTCCCATTTGTCTATTTTGGCTTTTGTTGCCAATGCTTTTGGTGTTTTGTTCATGAAGTCCTTGCCTACTCCTATGTCCTGGATAGTTTTGCCTAGATTTCCTTCTAGGGTTTTTATCGTGCCAGGTCTTATGTTTAAGTCTTTAATCCATCTGGAGTCAATTTTAGTGTAAGGTGTCAGGAAGGGGTCCAGTTTCTGCTTTCTGCACATGGCTAGCCAGTTTTCCCAACACCATTTGTTAAACAGGGAATCCTTTCCCCATTGCTTGTTTTTGTCAGGTTTATCAAAGATTGTATAGTTGTAGATATGTTGTGTTGCCTCCGGTGCCTCTGTTTTGTTCCACTGGTCTATATCTCTGTTTTGGTACCAGTACCATGCTGTTTTGATTACTGTAGCCTTGTAGTATAGTTTGAAATCCGGTAGTGTGATGCCCCCCGCTGTGTTCTTTTTGCTTAGAATTGACTTGGCTATGCGGGCTCTCTTTTGGTTCCATATGAAGTTCATGGTGGTTTTTTCCAGTTCTGTGAAGAAAGTCAATGGTAGCTTGATGGGGATAGCGTTGATTCTGTAAATTACTTTGGGCAGTATAGCCATTTTCACAATATTAATTCTTCCTAACCATGAACATGGAATGTTTCTCCATCTGTTTGTGTCCTCTCTTATTTCATTGAGCAGTGGTTTGTAGTTTTCCTTGAAGAGGTCTCTTACATTCCTTGTGAGTTGTATTCCAAGGTATTTTATTCTTTTTGTAGCAATTGTGAATGGCAGTTCGTTCTTGATTTGGCTTTCTTTAAGTCTGTTATTGGTGTAGACGAATGCTTGTGATTTTTGCACATTGATTTTATATCCTGAGACTTTGCTGAAGTTGCTTATCAGTTTCAGGAGTTTTTGGGCTGAGGCGATGGGGTCTTCTAGGTATACTATCATGTCGTCTGCAAATAGAGACAGTTTGGCTTCCACCTTTCCTATTTGAATACCCTTTATTTCTTTTTCTTGCCTGATTGCTCTGGCTAGAACTTCCAGTACTATATTGAATAGGAGTGGTGAGAGAGGGCATCCTTGTCTAGTGCCCGATTTCAAAGGGAATGCTTCCAGTTTTTGCCCATTCAGTATGATATTGGCTGTTGGTTTGTCATAAATAGCTTTTATTACTTTGAGATACGTTCCATCGACACCGAGGTTATTGAGGGTTTTTAGCATAAAGGGCTGTTGAATTTTGTCAAATGCCTTCTCTGCGTCAATTGAGATAATCATGTGGTTTTTGTTTTTGGTTCTGTTTATGTGGTGAATTACGTTGATAGACTTGTGTATGTTGAACCAGCCTTGCATCCCCGGGATGAATCCTACTTGATCATGATGAATAAGTTTTTTGATTTGCTATTGCAATCGGCTTGCCAATATTTTATTGAAGATTTTTGCATCTATGTTCATCATGGATTTTGGCCTGAAGTTTTCTTTTCTTGTTGGGTCTCTGCCGGGTTTTGGTATCAGAATGATGTTGGTCTCGTAAAATGATTTGGGAAGGATGCCCTCTTTTTGGATTGTTTGAAATAGTTTTAGAAGGAATGGTACCAGCTCCTCTTTGTGTGTCTGGTAGAATTCGGCTGTGAACCCTTCTGGACCTGGGCTTTTTTGAGTGGTAGGCTCTTAATTGCTGCCTCGACTTCTGACCTTGTTATTGGTCTATTCATAGTTTCAGCTTCCTCCTGGTCTAGGCTTGGGAGGACACAGGAGTCCAGGAATTTATCCATTTCTTCCAGGTTTACTAGTTTATGTGCATAGAGTTGTTTGTAATATTCTCTGATGATGGTTTGAATTTCTGTGGAATCTGTGGTGATTTCCCCTTTATCATTTTTTATTGCATCTATTTGGTTGTTCTCTCTTTTATTTTTAATCAATCTGGCTAGTGGTCTGTCTATTTTGTTGATCTTTTCAAAAAACCAGCTCTTGGATTTATTGATTTTTTGAAGGGTTTTTCGTGTCTCAATCTCCTTCAGTTCAGCTCTGATCTTAGTTATTTCTTGTCTTCTGCTGGGTTTTGAGTTTTTTTGATCTTGTTCCTCTAGCTCTCAATTTTGACGATAGGGTGTCAATTTTGGATCTCTCCATTCTCCTCATATGGGCACTTATTACTATATACTTTCCTCTAGAGACTGCTTTAAATGTGTCCCAGAGGTTCTGGCATGTTGTCTCTTCGTTCTCATTGGTTTTGAAGAACTTCTTTATTTCTGTCTTCATTTCATTGTTTACTCAGTCAACATTCAAGAGCCAGTTGTTCAGTTTCCATGAAGCTGTGCGGTTCTGGGTTGGTTTCTGTATTCTGAGTTCTAACTTGATTGCACTATGGTCTGAGAGGCTGTTTGTTATGATTTCAGTTGTTTTGCATTTGTTGAGCAGTGCTTTACTTCCAATTATGTGGTCACTTTTAGAGTAGGTGTGATGTCGTGCTGAGAAGAACGTGTATTCTGTGGATTTGGGGTGGAGAGTTCTGTAAATGTCTATCAGGTTTGCTTGCTCCAGGTCTGAGTTCAAGCCCTGGATATCCTTGTTGATTTTCTGTCTGGTTGATCTGTCTAATATTGACAGTGGAGTGTTAAAGTCTCCCACTATTATTGTGTGTGAGTCTAAGTCTCTTTGTAAGTCATTAAGAACTTGCCTTATGTATCTGGGTGCTCCTGCATTGGGTCCATATATGTTCAGGATCGTTAGCTCTTCTTGTTGTATCGATCCTTTTACCATTATGTAATGGCCTTCTTTGTCTCTTTTGATCTTTGTTGCTTTAAAGTCTATTTTATCAGAGATGAGAATTGCAACTCCTGCTTTTTTTGCTCTCCATTTGCTTGGTAAATCTTCCTCCATCCCTTTATTTTGAGCCTTTGTGTATCCTTGCATGTGAGACGGGTTTCCTGGATACAGCACACTGATGGGTTTTGGATTTTTATCCAATTGGCCAGTCTGTGTCTTTTGATTGGTGCATATAGTCCATTTACATTTAGGGTTAATATTGTTATGTGTCAATTTGATACTGCCATTTTGATGCTAAGTGGCTGTTTTGCCTGTTAGTTGTTGTAGATTCTTCATTATGTTGATGCTCTTTAGCATTTAGTGTGCTTTTGGAATGGCTGGTACTGGTTGTTCCTTTCTATGTGTAGTGCCTCTTTTAGGAGCTCTTGTAAAGCAGGCCTGGTGGTGACAAAATCTCTGAGTACTTGCTTGTTCGCAAAGGATTTTACTTTTCCTTCACTTCTGAAGCTCAGTTTGGCTGGATATGAAATTCTGGGTTGAAAGTTCTTTTCTTTAAGAATGTTGAATATTGGCCCCCACTCTCTTCTGGCTTGTAGTGTTTCTGCCGAGATATCTGCTGTGAGTCTGATGGGCTTCCCTTTGTGGGTGACCCGACCTTTCTTTCTGGCTGCTCTTAGTATTTTCTCCTTTATTTCAACCTTGTTGAATCTGACGATTATGTGCCTTGGGGTTGCTCTTCTTGCGGAATATGTTTGTGGTGTTCTCTGTATTTCCTGCATTTGAGTGTTGGCCTGTCTTGCTAGGTGGGGGAAATTTTCCTGGATGATGTCCTGAAGAGTATTTTCCAGCTTGGATTCATTCTCTTCGTCCCCTTCTGGTACATCTATCAAATGTAGGTTAGGTCTTTCACATAGTCCCACATTTCTTGGAGACTTTGTTCATTCCTTTTTGTGCTTTTTTCTCTATTCTTGGTTTCTCGTTTTATTTCATTGAGTTGGTCTTCGACTTCAGATATTCTTTCTTCTGCTTGGTCAATTCGGCTATTGAAACTTGTGCATGCTTTGCGAAGTTCTCGTATTGTGTTTTTCAGCTCCTTTAATTCATTCATATTCCTCTCTAAGTTATCCATTCTTATTATCATTTCCTCATATCTTTTTTCAAGTTCCTTAGTTTCTTTGCATTGATTTAATACATGTTCTTTTAGCTCACAAAAGTTTCTCATTATCCACCTTCTGAAGTCTAATTCCATCATTTCGTCACAGTCATTCTCTGTCCAGCTTTGTTCCCTTGCTGGTGAGGAGTTTTGGTCCTTTCTAGGAGGCGAGGTGTTCTAGTTTCGGGGGTTTTCCTCCTTTTTTTGCTGGTTTCTTCCCATCTTTGTGGATTTGTCCGCTTGTCGTCTGCATAGTTGCTGACTTTTCGATTGGGTCTCTGAGTGGACACCCAGATTGTTGATGATGAAGTATTTCTGTTACTTGGTTTTCCTTCTACCAGTCTAGCTCCTTTGCTGTACGACTGCTGAGGTCCACTCCAGGCCCTGCTTGTCTGGGGTGCACCTCTAGCAGCTGTGGCACAGCGAGGGATGCTACCAGTTTCTTTTTCTGCTATCTTTGTCCCAGCATGATGCCTGCCAAATGTCAGTCTTTTGGATATAGAGGGGTCAGGGAGCTGCTTGAGGAGACAGTCTGTACTTTATAGGAGCTCAATTGCTGAGCTGTGAGCTCTGTTGTTCATTCAGGGCTGTTAGGCTGCTATGTTTGATTCTGCTGCAACAGAGCTCATTAAAAAAACCCTTTTTTCTCAAATGCTCTGTGTTGGGGGGTTCGGGCTTTATTTTGGATGTCCGTTGAGATGTCCTGACCAGCTAGGAGGCAGACTAGCCACTGTTTGCCTGCCGAGGCTCCGCCCTGCTGTTGTGTGGTTCGGCATGTTGCTGCAGGCTCTGCTGTTCTGCTGTGGTCTCCGCCACGCCCTGCTGTTCTGCTGTGGTCTCCACCACGTTGCCTCGGCAATGGCAGGCTGTGTCAGCAGTGGGTGTGTATCTCAGTTGGGGCGGGTTGCCTCGGTAATGGTGGACGCCCCTCCCCCACGGAGCGTCTCGGACCGTCTGCACGGGGATCGTTTGAAATCGTGGTTTTGTTCATCCCACTGGGCTACCCCAAACGCTCTGTCCCTGCAATCCCCTGGGTTGGCCCACTGTCCAAGTCTCATTCAGTCTCAAGTCCAGCCCTCTCAAGTCTCAGGTTGCTGGTTCAACAGGCCACCCGGACAAGTGCACCCTGTGGGGAGCGCTGGGTAGGGCCGGCCGCCGCCACCCCGGCTGCCAGCTTCGCCAGACAGAGGTACTGCCTGGCATCCCGCATCTCCTTTATACTTGGGAATTTCCCTGTTCTGTGGGCAACAAAGATCAGTCTGGAAATGCAGCTCCGACTCACCTCTCCGTGGATTCAACGAGAGCTCCAATCCTGGGTTGTTCTCACAGCACCATCTTGAGTCCTCTCCCTGTTTTTTTTTTTTTTTAATAAAGATTGGGTTTCACCATGATGGCCAGGCTGGTTTTGAACTCCTGACCTCAGGTGATCTACCCACCTTGGCCTCCCAAAGTGCTAGGATTACAGGCATGAGCCACCGCGCCTGGCCACCCTCACATTCTTAAGAGCAATCCACAACCATCTCCATGCATCCACAAATCTGCTTTCAAGCCTGGGTCATTAACACTGTATTTTAAGTATGCTGTCATTAAAATAATCATCATGAAAACTATTTTTAAAATTAGGAACTGCTCATCACATAATGTTAAGCAAAAATATCAGAATGCAAAATACATCAAGCCAGGCCAGGCTCCCTGACCACCCACCTCCATCACTGAAGTAGGAATCACTCAACTCATCCCTGCAATAGCAAGAAAAGTCTGCTCTGCTCTCTTTTTCTCTCTCCCAGAAACTACCCCGAGGGAAACTTCATTCTTGCTCCTGCTTCCCAGCAAATACTTTAGGAATTGAGGTCTCCCTGGATCAAAGGTTTGAGAGAAAACCTGGGGAGCAAGCCAGCCTACCACCCTAGCATCTATTGCTTTCTTTCATTAATTCAGCAGACATCCACTGAGAACCTATTATGTGCCATATACCATCATAGGTACTGGATACTAAACAGAGCCCCTGCCCTCATGAAGATTACATTCTAGCGTGGAGTGGCTGACAATTTTAAAAGCATAAAAATAAGCATATTATATAGTATCTTGCTAGATAATAATTGTTATAGAAAAATAATAGAGCACGGGAGTCAGCAGGGCTGGGGGGAGGGGATTGCAATGGTACTTAGTGTTGTCAAGGTGACCTCAGCAAGAAAATGACATGGGAGAGAGGATTTGAAGTGAGGGAATTCATTATGTGCATGTCTGGGAAAGAACATTCCAGGTAGGCAGAAACACAGGTGCAAAGGCCCTAAAACAGAAACACATCTAGAAAGTTAAAGGTGCGGCAAAGAGGCCATGGTATCTGAAATGGATGAGTGACAGGAAGAGGAGTCAGAGAGGGAATGGTTGGGGGAAGGGACAGATCATGCAGAGCCTCATTGGCCTTAATGAGGGCCTTGGCCTTTACTTTGAGGGTAATAGGGAGAACCAACCATGGAGAACAAGGATAGAAGCTTGAAGACCAGCTAACAGGCAACTCCAATAGTCCAGCAAGGGGTGTTTGTGGATCACACCAAAGTGGTAGCAGCGGACATAGTAAGAAGTGGTAAAGAGACTCCAGATATCAGGGTTTTTTGAAGGGTTAGATGTGGAATGAGCAAAAGAGAGGAGTCAGGGATGCTTCCAAGGCAACTGGTCCAGGCACTTAAACACATGAAACTGTCCTTAACTGAGATGTGAAAGAAGGCAAGGAAAGCCAACTTGGAAGAAAGATCTAAAGTTCAGTTTCAGACACGTGAAGGTGGAAATGCAGAGACATGGAATAGATGGTTGGCTCTGTGAGTCTGAAATTCAGGGATGGGTGTGGGCTGGAGATACACGTGTGGGAGTTTGCAGCACATACAGCCAGGACACCAGATGAGATTTCCAAGAGTGTGGAAGGCAGAGAAAAAGGAGCGATCTAAGGTCTGAGGCCTGGATGTGTCAATGAGAAAAGAAGGAAGCAGCAAGCATTTGGGAAGATGTATCCAGCAGCAGAAAAGGTAGGAGGGAAAGTGCAGAGTCTCGGAAGTTAAGAGAAGAAAACATTTGCTGGAGGAGAGAGTGAGCATGAGCGACTATGTCAGCTGCTGCCGCAAGGTGAGGTGGGATGAAGACTGAGAATCAAGCTTTAGATGTAGCAAGGCAGAGACCATGGTGACTTTCACGAGCAGTTTCAAGGAAGTCAGAAGAGGAATGTTTTCCCTACAGGAAGGATGGAAAACCTCAACAACAAGAACAAGAAAGGGGCACCATGGCTGGCATTAAACCTATAGGGAGGGATGCAGGAAGAAGAAACAATGCCTGTGGCACTTAAAGGACAGATTTGTGTCATCCAAGCTGAAATGTTTCTGTGCGTGTGGGAAAAGCCTTTATTTTCTCATGACTCAACAGATTATGCTGCTAATTTACTGACTCTTTGTTCTCTCTTCAACTGTGCCCTGAATAAAGTTTAATCTCTTAAACAGAAGAAAAAAAATAAGAGGTTATTGACCAGCAATTAAGCTATCACTCAAATGAAACCTGGATCCAATCCACTACATAAAAAGGATACTTGCAACATTCTTCTTCAATGTGAGATTCAGGGCTCCAACAATAGATTTTTGGCTTTGATATTGCTGCCACACCTTTGGAACAACAATATTGGGAAATTCACACTGTCCTTTCTCTGTATTCAGCCCACAGAGGCCAGATTTCTGCATTCAAGGCCAAACCTGCTCTTTCTATCAACTCTGTAAAATCATCTCCTATCACCAGCATTCCTGCCAAGTTACCCATTTAGAACTGTCTCTTTCTTTTTCACACAAAGCCATATGTGAAAGCAAAAGAGACGATATACTTAAACCCATCAGAATCATTCCTTTTTTAATCCCAAAATGGAAGATCTGCCTTAAAATTCCTGAACAGTACCTTCTAACTCATTAGCAATTACTAATTGCTTATTTCCCTAGTTAAACCTGACTATAAAATATATTTCTAGGAAACACCTAAGATATTATATATACAGATGATCCTATGCTTTGTTTCAACCTGATAAAAAGAACTATCATGATTACTTCTATGGCTAGGAAATAAGACAAATGCAATCAAACCTCATCATTTTAGATCCTGCTACTCTAAAAATAACAGTAATTCAACTTTGATTGAAGATTACCTTTATAGCATATTTGAAAAGAAGGCATTGCAAAGAAAATTAATAATATGAATAATATCCAGGGAAGATATTTAAACTATTTAGAACATAAAGTGTTTCAAATATTATCAATTTGCTAAAGGAGAGCTATCTTCAACAATACTAGCACAGAAAGACAGGATGCATGTGTAATTATGATAGATACCTATTCATGAGTTCATTATGTCCCATCTTTCTTCAGACCTTATGAGATTTTGTTGTCATTGCTGAGCTACACATGCACACACCCACGACCTCACCCACAGTCATGCAAGTATATTCAGACAACTTGCCAACCCACACGTTTTATTTGGCAACACCCACACCCCACCCACAAGTAGGTTTCCCAGATTCGAAAAGTAAATTGCTGGTCCTTTCTTTTGGTGCACAATAAGAAAGGACCAGCGATATTCTTGAGTCATAAATGGACTACTCCCCAAACTGCTTTTTCATAATTATACAATTATAAGTTTAGCAGTATAAAATTAAAAGAAAAAATATTATTTCTTGCTTGACTAAGAAATAACCTATGAAAGAGGTCTGCCTCTTCTCCATGCCTATAGATTTCATCACAGAGCAGAAATAATTAGAATCTGGGCTTAACAACAACAGAAAATATACCAAGATTCATTTATGAAATTCAAAATAAATAATATGCTATCCTAAATCATTATTTTTAGATGTTGAGTTGTATAAGCAACCTGCAGAGGATGAAATCTGAAGGCAGCTCCTCACAAGATGTAAGCATGAGAGAGGCATATATAAAGAATCTTACCAGCCCAGGACCAGCAGATGATGAAATCTGACAGATTGGCTGGCATTATCTCCCTCATTCTGGGTGCTTGTCTCATGCAATCTGCTCCCACGGGGCTAAGCCATTGCCTCACTCTAAAAACATCAACCACACACACACCACCTCCGATCCTGGAAACTGAAGAACTCTACACTGTGGTAAACATTTGTTCTCTGAAGTTTTCTTCACTAAACTTTTAGGAATCATATTTACCACATTAAGAATGTACCAAATGCACAACATTCAGAAAATTTCCTCCATCGCAATCCACAATAGTTCAAAAATATTTGCTCAACAAACCTCTGTTGAGCACCTGCTATGTGCCAGGCACTGCAGCAGCTATTAAAGATGTAAAGCTGAATCAGAGACTGGTCTCCTCCTAAAGGAGATCAGCATGCATGTAGAAAACAATGTCACAAATATGACAGAACAGTGCAACAGTAGAAAGGAAGGCAGTCAAACCTCATCATTTTGATTCATTCTGCCTAAGAGATTGAGGAAAGCAACGTTGCAGAGGTTATATTCAAGCTCGGCTCACAGGAGTTAACCAAGGGAAAAGGGCAGAAAAGGCATCCAGACACAGCAAAGCCCTGAGATCTGTTTTGGGAAACTGAAAACCTAGAATGACAAGAAAAAGAGCACAGGCTACAGGGATGGGCTGAACAGGAAAGGTTTTGAATGCCATGCTTTTATTTTATACTAAAACAATAAGAAACCATGAATGACTTTTAACCAAGGAAGAACAATCAAATCAAATTATATGGCATAATTACATAATTGTGGCAGTTCAGAGGATGGCTTTAAACAGGAAGAGAAAATCAGGACATAAAGTGGAGCTGTGGCAGTACAGAGAGAGGAGGAGGCAAGAGCTATTCCAGAAATAAGACGAACAGGCTTCAGGGACCTTTGGATGCCAGAGGTGAAGACAACAGAGTGGCATGGTATGAATCCAGTGATCTTAGTGACAGTGATAAGTGAGATAAACTTTCATGAGTCAGTCACAGGAATGCAGGAGGAGGAGAAAGTTTGGGTAAAGCGGTGAGTTCAGTGTTAGCCATTTAATGGGTTGCCTAGGAGGAGTCAAAGAGAGGCGTGGAAGAGGTCAAGGAACTCTAAGGCCAAGTGTTGCCAATGCTGAAGTTAAAGTCAGCTAGATGATAACAGGAGATGAAGTCAGGAGAGAATTGGCAGCCCAGGAGTCAATGGGTGTGATATTGACTATTGATAGATTATAGCAACTTGTACAGAAGAGCATAAGCTGCTGGATTGAGTGTCCCTCGGGGACCGATGTTCTTGGATGACTGACTTAAGAAGCCATTCCCAAACCCTTTCTTCCTAAAGGCACATACTCATTTTCCCCACTTTCCTTTTAGCTAAAGGGGGCAATGCAGAGACACAAAAACTCTCCTGTGAGCCTGCAGAAAAATATATGCTTCTCTGATCAAATGAACACACATAGTTGGTGCTTCCCCCACCGTCTTCCTTGAATGCAAAAATAACGTCCAAAAGTTCTTTGAGCCAGCTTGTCACCCATGAGGTGATAAAAAGCCAATATATAAATGATAGCCAGGTAAGAAGATAGAAAGCCCCACTTTCTAGCCTTAGACTATAAGGGAGATTTTAGGCAAGGCCCAAAGCAAAGCAGTATCATCGAAGGAAAATCAGGCTTTAAATGAGTCAAAAGGAAGGGGGCTTATTCTCAGGAAAGGTTGAGGACAGAAAGTGTGCCCTGCTGTTTCCCCAGCAGCCAGCATGATGCCTGAGATGCAGCAGCTACACACCATGCATTCGCCGAATCCACAAATATGAAGTGGATGGAAGGACCTCAAGGAAGGCTTGAGGGAGGAAGGGCAAGTCGAAGGGCTTGAAGGAAGGACTCTGTAAAAGAAATAGGGGCATGCCAGCTGGTCAGTTACAGCATTTGCCTCTTGGACAGAGGTGTCAGATCACAGCAAGGAGGGAAGAAGGTGCTGGTTTAGGAGAGGAGGGAAAGACCAGCTAACTGTGCTCCCTCCAGTTTCAGGCACCAGGTCCCAGAAAAGAAAAGGCGGAAATATCACTTAGAGAGAAAACCATCAGAAACAACAATTTATTGACCTGTATCCTTTTTACAGGTCTGCTGGCAGAAGCAGTTCTCAAAGCCTTTCATTTCAGGAGAGCCGTATCATTAACACCATGAAAGAATAAGATCTCATCCTCAGATGCCTACAGATCTCAAGTCTACCCAGGAACTCCTGAGGGGGGGACACAAGTCATCTTGTAGGGTGATGTTTACTCTGCCTGACTCATAGGAAAGCCAACCCATAATCTTTGATCTTCCACTTCTCCAGGCCTGACTATGGAAGGATTTAATCTGTAAGAACAAATTCCAACAGCAGAAAGTTGGGCATTGGACAAGAAAGAACCAGCCAGCTGCGGGGCTTCAAGGGGTGCAATCTTGCAAGAGGTGGTACTGCTTTGAGAGCTTTCTGGGTGGAGAAAGATGGCCTGGCTGGTAGAGAAAGCCCACAGCTGGAAGAAACTTACTATCCAAAAAGCGTTCATAGAATGTCCCACACAACCTCACAGTCTCCTAAGTTTTACTACAGCCTCGCCTCACTTTCTCCTTGCACACCCCTCTCCCCATGCCACTCCTTTCTGTACATTCACCCAACTACACATTCAATAAAGGAAATAAATCTAATGATGCCTTAAGTGGTCTTTTTACAGAGAGCAGCCAAAATAGACATATACCGAAGATACACACATATACCAGAATCATATGGAAGAAGAAATAAAGTAAAATTGTCCTCAGGCATTGAGGGCATCTGCAGCGTGTGAAAATACTGAAATGCATTTTCTATCATTTAAATAATATATAAATGTTCCATGTAAGGGAGAATTGACATTTTCAAATATTAGTTTCATATATATAATTCCAAGAGAGTCCTACCAAATTGCTGGATAAACTAATCTAATTTTCAACAGACCCAGAATTCACTCCAGTTAAGACTGCATTTAGCATTTTGATCTACATCAGTAAGCCTCCTCTCACATTGCCTAGTCGGGGACGAAGCCCTAACAAGATACAGCGCCACCTATTGACCACATACTAAAAATACAAGCTGTCCATTTGAGCATATTCAGGCTCACAGGCTATGTGGCGCTGAGACATGTAATTTATTTCGTATCAACTGATCTTTAACATTTCAACAGATTTAATAGAAGCAAAGTGGGAATAACTCTCAATGTATTCTGCCTACATTCTCTTAATGTTATTTCTTATAGCTCTATTATAAGATATCTTGATGTTATCTATTTGTATTTGCTCCCTGGTTCATTAAATACATATTTACTGACCACCTATACATGACAGATCTTGTGCGTGCCAACAGAATCATAGTGGTAAACAGGACCAAGGTGACCCCTCACCCCCTGGGAGCTTATAGTTTTCCTAGAATCTGACCACTTTTCATCACCTCCACTATGAATGCCTGAGTCCACAACCACCAGGATGATTATAAGAGTTTCCTCACTGGTCACCCTGCTTTCACTCTATGCCTCCACAGTCTCTTCTCGATGGACGACAGAGGGAGTCCTTTAAAATCTAAGTCAGATCACAAACCTCCTCTGCTCTGAAACCTCCAAAGCTTCCATTTCATCCAAAATGCAAAATCATTACTGCATAAGACCTGGCCTCCCCTTTCCACCTCTCTCCATCCTCCCAGGCCCCAATCTTCCACACCAACCATCCTGTCCTCCCTGCTCTTTCTCAAACTCAGGAAGGCCCCAGGCCTTTGCACTTGCTATTCCTACCTGGATGCTTATCCTCAGATGCTGCATGACTCCCTTTCTAAAGGTTTTTGCTCAAATAGCACATAATTCGTGAGGCCTTCTTGACCACCTTTCCTGAAATCTAACAGCACTCCTTACAACGGCGACTCCTATCCCCCACCCTGTTTATCAGGCATACTTATCACTATCCAACCTGCTATCTATGGGCACTCGCCTGTTTGTCTGTTGTTGTCTTCTACAACTAGAGTGCGAGCTCCATGAAGGCAGGGACTTTGTTTTGTTAACTTGGGGATCTCCAGAGCCTCAAACAGTATGCATTACACATCTGTCAAATAAAATCTCATCCACTTTCTCTGTGTATCTTTCTCATTCTCCAGACCCTGGTTCCCGAGGGCAGTAAAGGAGTCAGATATGGGAAGCTTTCATACCAATTCCCTGGTCTAGGACACAGAAGAGCTCACCTTATGCAAGTTTGAAGGCAGGGCCAGATTCATGGATGTGTTCCATGCTCAGAGGAACCCTGTGCTAAGTTTAATGCTCTCAGTCACCAAACTGAACTTCTTCATGATTTTTGGATAAAGGACCTGCATTTTCCTCTTGCCCTGGGATTTGGAATAAGACATGTGTGAGTAAACAGCCCACTGAGAACATCATGGAAAGATAAACACTTCTTGCAGCACATGACCCTTTTGATAAGTCAGAACCAACAGCTATTTCATCACCGATCATTCCAGGAAGGGAGCTTGGCCCCTGAGGGATATGGGAGGTTTGCTCTCTTCAGCCTAGGACCAACCCTATCCTCCTAGGAAGTCAGGGGATTGTTCCCAGCAGTTCTTTCCTCTGCACCCTTCTCACCCCATCTCCCCCTTTCACCAGGCCACAGGCTGGAATTCCCCACCAGCAAGGTCAATCCATGCCAAGAGAGTAGGAGTAACTTACATAGATGCAATTGCTAAACTAAATCCTGCAAAACTTACATTTAAAATAGGCAGGAGGGGTCAGGCCTTGTAATCCCAGCACTTAGGGAGACCAAAGCAGGTGGATCACTGAGGCCAGGAGTTGGAGACTAGCCTGGCCAACACGGTGAAACTCCATGTCTACTAAAAATACAAAAATTAGCCAGGTGTAGTGGTGGCCACCTGTAATCCCAGCTACTTGGGAGGCTGAGGCATGAGAATCGCTTGAGCCCAAAAGACAGAGGTTGCATGAACCGAGATCGTGCCACTTCACTCTAGCCTGGGTGACAGGGCAAGACTCTCTAGAAATAAATAAATACTCAAGAGGGTTTTCCCAGTGGGAAAGGGTCACAGTCTGTGGTTTTGGCTTACAGACTGAGGGGAGGGAAGAGATGGAACAGGACACCAAAAAATGGCTCCTTGTGTTATCCTGGTCATAGTCAGAGGTGGAAAAAGGAGTAAGAACCACGGGTGCTCCACTGCCCTCTGCTGGCCCCTGCAAGAAGTGTCCTGTGTGCTGGCAAAGTGTCATGGGGTTTTCTCTTGAATGATGGCTGCACAAAAAACATTCATGATTCCTGAGAGCAGGGGAATAGTAAGATGTGGTTAAGCAACACTTTCCATTATTCTATTCTATTCTATTCTTTTTTTTTGAGACGGAGTTTCGCTCTTGTTACCCAGGCTGGAGTGCAATGGCGCAATTTCGGCTCACCACAACCTCTGCCTCCTGGGTTCAGGCAATTCTCCTGCCTCAGCCTCCTGAGTAGCTGGGATTACAGGCACACGCCACCATGCCCAGCTAATTTTTTGTATTTTTAGTAGAGACGGGGTTTCACCATGTCGACCAGGATGGTCTCGATGTCTTGACCTCATGATCCACCCGCCTCGGCCTCCCAAAGTGCAGGGATTACAGGCTTGAGCCACCGCGCCTGGTCCCCCCTCCCCCGCTTTTTTTTTTTTTTTTTTTTTTTTTTGAGACTGAGTCTAACTCTGTCGCCAGGCTGGAGTGCAGTGGCACAATCTCAGCTCACTGCAACCTCCACCTCCTGGGTTCAGGCGATTCTTTCACCTCAGCCTCTTGAGTAGCTGGGATTACAGGTGTGCACTACCACACCTGGCTAATTTTTGTATTTTTAGTAATACAGGGTTTCACCATGTTGACCAGGATAGTCTCAACCTCTTGACCTTGTGATAAGCCCACCTCGGCCTCCCAAAGTGCTGGGATTACAGGCATGAGCCACTGCACCTGGCCTATTCTATTCTATTCTGTTTTTTTAACTTAGTGAAGTAGTAAACAGCATGGTACAACTGCTTTGGGAATTCAAGCCAGGAAAAAAGCGTCAGGTAGATGGGCAGTTAGTGGATTAAGACAAACTTGGATTTGTCCTTGAAGTGTAGGAAGGATTCAGACAAATGAAAGAAGAAAAAAGAGAAATTAGAGGTGAAAGGAAAAGCTTTCAGAGAAAGACCCATAAAGACAAGAACAGATACAGAAGACAGATGTTTGAGCCTAACTAATACTTTGAATATTAAACAATGTTTACAGCAAGGTGAGAACAAATTATGCCTTTCCTCGGGCAAAACAGTAAGGGCAACATCTAAAAGAACCAAGGAAGTTCTTGTGACTAGAGAGCTTGGCGATGTCTTTCATTAGGCTTCTTAGAAACTCTCACTTTTCACACCCCTGTGAAATAGAAAGCAGGCAGGCCAGAAACAAAAATTTCCCAAGCAAAGTGCCAACATGCTCCAGGCCCTTTAAGGCAAAATAGTGAATGCTGGCCACCCAGAGGTTTGTAACACTCTCCATACGTACACCACACCAAGACTTATGCCATTTCTCAGGTGGGACCCCTGAGATTCCAAAGCTGACTGGAGCCTGAATGCTGACAGCTTTGTTCTGGTAGCCTTCCTAAGGCTCCTCAGGATAAGTAGGTTGTAATGAAATACAATTTCCTTTCTTAATGACACTGGTTCTCAAGCTTTGAGGAACATATAATAAAATACAACTGGGGACTTGTCAAAACATAGAATGGCAGGCTCCAGCTCCCAAGATCTTGATGGAGGAGGTCCGGCTGCAGTTAATTAATCTGCATTTTAAATAAGTCTCATGCCCTCCCCAGATGATTCCAATACAGGTAATTTTAGGACCATATTATGTAGTGCCCTATAAACTGTTTCTCAAATCACTGGTTAACTCTAATGCAAACCCCCAAGCTTCAGATCTAGTTTTGTAGGATTTCAGGAGTTACTGACATCCAACTTCAGAAGAATATCTGCATGTCTTTCCATTCTGTCATAATATTCTTTCATCCAGAGGTATTCAATATTCACACAAAAAGGGAGAATTTGAAAGATGCCCTGACTTAGCCCGTATGGGCTGCTGCAACAAAATGCCACAATGTGGGAGGCTTACAAACAACAGAAATTTAGTTCTCACAGGCCTAAATGCTGGTAAGTACAAGATCAAGGTGCCAGCAGATTCAGCTTCTAGTGAGGGCACTTCTCGGTTGACAGACGACCCCTTCTTGCTGTGTTCTCACATGGGGAAGGAGCAAGGATGCTCACTGGCACCTTTTTTTTTTTTTTTTTTTTTTTTTTTTGAGATGGAGTTTCATTCTTGTTGCCCAGGCTGGAGTGCAATGGCCCAATCTTGGCTCATTGCAACCTCTGCCTTCCAGGTTCAAGTGATTCTCCTGCCTCAGACTCCCAAGTAGCCGGGATTACAGGCACCCACAACCATGTCCAGCTAATTTTGTATTTTTAGTAGAGACAGGGTTTCTCCATGTTGGTCAGGCTGGTCTCAAATTCCCGATCTCAGGTGATCAACCCACCTCAACCTCCCGAAGTCCTGAGGTTATAGGCATAAGCCACTGTGTCCCACCAACCATCACCTCTTTTATAAGGGCACTAATCCAATTCAGCAGGGCTGTGCCTCCCAGTGGTCACACATCTTAAAACTATCATGTTGGTGATTAGGTTTCAACAAATGAATTTGGGGACATAGGGTAGGGGAGGATTAACATTCAAACCAAGCTCAAGCAAACAGTATCAACCAGAACATGAATTATCTTGGACCTCAGCCTAATAACTAACCAGAATTATATCTGATCACTTTTGTCAAGTTTTGGTTCATAAATGCAAAAGGCAGGAACCCCTGACTTTCACATAAGAAAAAGCCTGTTATAACAGCCATGGCAGTTCTTGTGGTTAACTGGAACCAGCAGTGACGAATTTGGGGTAGTGAGACAGCCTTTGTGTAGCCTTTAATGAGCAAAGGATGCCTGAACTAATTCATTCATTCAGCAAAGGCTTCCTGAGTGCCCCTCATCCCAGGCACCACAATCATCGCAGTGAGCAAAACTGGTACATGTTCTCCCTACAGTTAGTAGGGAAAGACAGAAGATACTTTCAGATGGTAATAAAAGCTGGAAAAGAAACTGAGGATTGAGAAAGAGAGTGATTGGGGGATAGGGAGTGGCTATGTTACAGAGAAAGGTCAGGGGAATGTCTCTGATTGAGTGATATTTATGCTAAGACCTGATTGTCAAGAAGTTAGTCATGGAAAGAGCCAGGAAAAATCTCACTTATAAGTGGGATCTAAAAAAGTTGGACCCATAGGAAACAGAGGGTAGAATATTGGTTGCCAGGGGTTGCGGGTGGTAGCTGGGGAGATGCTGGTCAAAGGGTACAAACTTTCATCTCAATTTATATTCACTCCATCTCAAAAAAAAATTTATATTCAGACAAATATGTTCTGCAGACCTAATGTACTGCATGGTGACTCTAGTTAACAATACTGTATTACATATTTGAAATTTTCTGAGAGTAGACCTTAAATGTTCTTACCACACACACACACACAAATGATTTCACAATTTATATGTATATCAAATCATCACATTGTACATCTCGAACTTACACGACATTATTTGTCAAATACACCTCAATGAAGTTGGAAAAAAAACTAAATTTAAAAAAAGATACAGGAGAAGAACAGTAGATGCAAATCTCTGAAATAGAAAAGAGCTTGGCATGCTTGAGGAACAGGAAAAAGGCCAGTGTGACTGGATCAAGTGAACAAGAGGAAGGAGGAGTTGGAGAAGCAGACAGGAGCTGCTGCAGCTAAAGCATCACTACTGCTGCAGTGGCAGAGAACTATTTTCAACAATGACGCTCCCAGTGACAAATCTTTGATTTCGTGGGTGATTGCCAGGCTCTTTCATACACTCTGACACAATGAGTAACTTGGGTCTGTCTAATGGAAGATTTCAACCTTGGGAAGCAATCCTCTCCCGCAAAGCCCTTTATCCTTGTTCAAGATGTCTGAAATTCTACCAAGAAGGCAGAACAGGATGTGATTCCAGAACAGGATGTCTGGCTTTGAAAGCAGACAACCATAGGTTTTAGTTTCACCTCAGTCACCTTTTAGTTGGCAAGTTACTGAAACAATCTGAGCCTTATTTCCGCATCTGTAAAATGGGAATAACATAGAATACCTTACTCACAGGGTTATTGTAGGCATTGTACATACAATTGTACATTGTATATAGCTGGCATATAATAGTAAGTGCATACATGTTATTCTTATCCAAGAAGCTTTATTTCTCTAATTTAAGATGTTGCTGGAAGTTAAACAGAAAGTCTGTCTGGAGTAATCACACTGTAACCTGTTGTCATTTGTATTTTAGAGTGAATGAGTCCATAATTCTTTCTCTGAAGCTCTACAAAGTTGGATTTAAGAGAAAGAGAGAGTAAGAATCTAGATTACATAGGGGCCAGAGGACAGAGGAGAAAACTAGTTGGGGAAGAAGGCGTACAATCTCTGAAATCTTCAGTGTTTAAATTCCTTAAAAATAATTAATAAAGGGAAAGAAGGTAGCATTAATTCTGACTTTCCTGTACAAACTGCACTTCAGAGTAACCATATGCTGATAAGTGAAGTTTCTCTTCCAGAGCAGTATTCTGGCTAAGGCATAGAAAGCAACGATAGAACTGGAGTATTACCACTGAGCGACCTGTAATGAGCTAACGGGTTGAGTTACCTCATCACAGAAGGAGAGAGAACCCAGCATTTCGTCTCTCCAGGTATAAGTACACACAACACCACCTATGAGATATTTCTGCCCTAAACTCAAGCCTAAATTTTTAGATCTATCACCATGTTTTAGTCATCTCTCTGCTCCCAGATCCTAGCACAAACCTGACAGGTAGCAGCATTGTGGACGACTGGATAAAGAGGAGCACAAAAAATGGAACTGCAAATTAAGGGAGATATTCTATAATTGAAAGCAGGGAGCAGGAAGCTGGAGCCAATCTGCTGGAATAGCCAGGGAAGAGTAAAGCTCTAAGATTGTGCTCAATCTCCCTGAAGCCAATGATAACCAGCACAAGAAACACCAGCCAAGGGCCAGGCATGGTGGCTCATGCCTGTAATCCCAGTCCTTTGGGAAGCCAAGGCGGGTGGATCATGAGGTCAGGAGTTCGAAACCAGCCTGGACAGCATGGTGAAACCCTGTCTCTACTATTAGCTGGGGATGGTGGTGCATGCCTATTGTCCCAGCTACTAAGGAGGCTGAGGCAGTAGAATAGCTTGAACCTGGGATGGGGAGGTTGTGATGAGCTAAGATGGTATCATTGCACTCCAGCCTGAGCAACAAACCAAGACTCTGTCGAAAGAAAAGAAGAGAGACAGAGAGAGAGAGAGAAAGATGGAGAGAGGGAAGAAGGGAGGGAAGGAGGGAGAGAAGGGAAGGAGGGAGGGAAAGAGGGAGAGAAGAGAGGGAGGGAGGAAACAGAAAAGAAAAACCAAAAGACAAGAAAGGGCCTAGGAAATCATCAGTAGCCAGGGATTGTGGTTTGTGGCTTTAAACTGATTCAGTCTCTCTTCTGCATACGAGTCGGCCATCCCCAGGCAAGTCTGGGAATGAAAGGGCCTAAAAGGAAACTGACCTTTTATTCCTGAGCGTCAACAAAGAGCTGATAGTCCCTGGAAACACTGAAACCACATCAGCAAGGTGGGGCCTCTGCATGGCCTGCTGGGAAATTCCAACGTTTGTGATTCCATCCTGTTTATCTCTCTCACCAGGACAGAAAAAGCACACAGGGAGCTTTTTGGAGAAAGGTTGGGAAGCAGGGAATCAGTAGCAGTGTGGGAGGAATAAACATTACTGTGACAGAGTGACAGTGGAGAAGTTACCGTGTGTTATATGGAAAGTGTTCCATATACACAGCTTAAAAACCTACACTTAACAAAACTTCAATTCCACATTCTTTTATAATTTTTTGCCTCTCAAGGCATGCACTTGGCCATGTCATTGCCGTGCAGTTCAAAGCCTGATTCTCGGCACCTCCACATTCAGCCATAAAGCAAGCCTAAAACATCTGAAAGCACTTTCAGCGTCAATTGATTACTAAGGCTCTTTTCCCAGGACTCCTCAGCCATGGCCATGAGCAGCAGAAAGAACTTCTGATAAGGTACTCAGGGCTTGGGAATATACCAAAGTCAATCAGGCTCAACATCAAGGCCCTAATACTAGGATTTTCTTGCAATTTGATTCCAAGTCCCACTTACCTCCCCAGACAGAACCACAGTGAGCACTGCTGCTTGGGAAGCCTCAGCTGCCTTACAAGGGTCTTGTTTTTACTCAAGGTCGTCCTGAACAACTCCTCCAACATCGGTCTGCAAAGGTACGCTTTCCCTTCAGTTCAGGTTCATTGCCACCACTCCTTTGCTCTTTTCATCACAAATGACGTTAGATGTGAACTTGAATAAGAAACTTGCCCTCCCTGATTTTTTCCTTTTCTCTGTCCTCATCGGAGTATCCCACAATCTGGATGTAGAAATGGATCAGTTCTTCCACCTTCCCTCCACATATGTGCATGCGCACATACACACGCACATTTTTTTAAGTCTCTGTCTTTAAGAATCCACAGCTGTGGCTGAGTGCTGTGGTTCATTGCCTGTGATTAGATTAAGTTGTCATACACCCAGCTGGGGTCCAAAGAATTGAAGAATTGCTTGATGTCGGCGGGGGAGGGGGAGGAACACACACATCTAGTGTCGAAGTGTTGTGTGAATATAAACATCATATTCATTTCTCAATCCCCAATAAAAAAGTTAACACTCTTGATGCGAGTATGAATTAGTTTGACCACTGTGGAAGACAGTGTGGCAATTCCTCAAGGCTCTAGAACTAGAAATACCATTTGACCCAGCAATCCCATTACTGGGTATATACCAAAAGGATTATAAATCGTTCTACTATAAAGACACACATACACGTATGTTCACTGCAGCACTGTTCACAATAGCAAAGACTTGAAACCAACCCAAATGCCCATCAATGATAGACTGGATAAAGAAAATTTGGCACATATACACCATGGAATACTAAGCAGCCATGAAAAAAGGATGAGTTCATGTCCTTCCCAAGGACATGAATAAAGCTGGAAATCATCATTCTCAGCAAACTGACACAAGAACAGAAAACCAAACACCTCATGTTCTTACTCATAAGTGGTTGTTGATCAATGAGAACACATGGACACAGGGAAGGGAACATCACACACTAGGGCCTGTTAGGGGGTAGCGGGGATAGGGGAGGGATAGCAGGGGGTGGGGTTATTGGGAAAGGATAACATTAGGAGAAAAAACTAATGTAGATGACAGGGGGATGGATGCAGCAAACCACCATGGCATGTGTGTACCTATGTAACAATCCTGCACGATCTGCACATGTACCCCAGAACTTAAAATATAATAAAAAATTTAAAAAATTTTTTTAATTAACACTAATCCCTTACTATCATTGGATACCCAGTCTATATTCATATTCTCAAAATTGTCTCAAAAGTATCTTGGGCCAGACAAGTTGACTCATGCCTGTAATCCCAGCACTTTGAGACGCTAAGGCAGGTGGATCACCTGAGGTCAGGAGTTCGAGACCAGCCTGACCAACATGGTGAAACCCCGTTTCTACTAAAAATACAAAAATTAGCTGGGTGTGGTGGCACACGCCTGTAATCCCAGCTACTCGGGAGGATGAGGCAGGGGAACTGCTTGAATCCAAGAGGCAGAGGTTGCAGTGAGCCAAGATTGTACCATTGCACTCCAGCCTGGGTAACAGGAGCGAAACTCTGTCTCAAAAAAAAAATATATATATATATAGTATCTTGGTTGTTTGTTGGAACCAGGAATCCTCAGCATTTGACTGACATCCCTTAAGAATTTCTTAATCTTGGCTCACGCCTATAGTCCCAGCACTTTGGGAGGCCGAGGCAGGTGGATCACGGGGTCAAGAGAGCGAGACCATCCTGGTCAACATGGTGAAACCCCATCTCCACTAAAAAATACAAAAATTAGCTGGGCATGGTGGCACATGCCTGTAGTCCCAGCTACTTGGGAGGCTGAGGCAGGAGAATTGTTTAAACGCAGCAGGCGGAGGTTGTGGTGAGCCGAGATCATGCCATTGCACTCCAGCCTAGGTAACAAGAGTGAAACGCCATCTCAAAAAAAAAGAGTTTCTTAATCTGTAATGGTTCCTGAGGTAGCCATGGAGGGGCATCACTGAGATATCCTTCAAGAAGAACCTGCGGCCAACTGCAAGGTGTGGAGTCAGCAGACAGCCTCCAGCTTTCAGCTCCTTCAACGTCAGCATCAGCTGCTGAGCGCTGAGATCACATTTTTCTCCAAGCAACCCACATTCAGCGACCAAGAAGGGAGGGGCAAAAAGGTCCAGCTTTTGGCCTGACACAGAACAACTCTGATCAACAATATGTGCTCACAAAGCCACTCTGGGTTTGCTAAGGTTTTGCCAGGCCTGCATCACAATGGGTCTTTTCCCTCTAGCACCTTTCCTTTATAGGCACTGCTCCTTACCAATCTTCCTGCACCCAAATCGTGTGTCAGCATCTGCTTCCAGAGAATCCAATTTGCAACAGTTCTCATTCCTTTCTTTTCATACCCTTGTTAAAGAAACTAGGACTGACTTTATGTTTAAAACACGAGTTTCAGCATTCCAATCATTTTTCAAGACTGAAAATTATAAGCTAAACATTCTCATTTTCACTAGTAGGAATTTCTAATCATTTAATCAAAAGAAATTAAAGATAAATACATTTTTAAAGTCTCATTTTATCTTCTAAAATAGGTAAACCTTATCAGATCCACTTTCATAAAATTGCTAATATCACCAAAATAAACCACAGTAAGCCAGGCACAGTGGTTCATGCCTATAATCCCAACACTTTGGGAGGCCAAGGCAGGAGGATCACTTGAAGTCAAGAATTTGAGACTAGCCTGGACAACATAGCAAGACCTTGTCTCTACAAAAAAATTTAAAAACTAGCTGTAGTAAGGCCCATCTGCGGTCCTAACTACTCAGGAAGCTGAGGCAAGAGGATAGCTTCAGCCCAGGAGTTTGAGGCTGCAGTGAGCAATGATTGTGCCACTGCACTTCAGCCTGGGCATAGAACAAAACCCTATCTCAGAAAACAAAAAAACACAAATAATTTTTTAAAGCCACAATAGAAGTCTAGATTTCTCTATGTAATGATAAAGGAGTCAATTCAGCAAGAGAATATAATAATTGTAAGTATATATGCACTAAACACTGAAGTATCTAGATGTATAAAGCAAAGAGTAGAGCTAAATTATATTAGACCCCAATATAATAATGACTATAGACTTCAACACCCCTCTTTCAGCATTGGACAGATCTTCCAGACAGAAAATCAACACAGAAACATTAGACTTAATCTATGTTATAGCATAAATGGACCTAATAGATATTTACAGAACATTTCATCCAACAGCTCCAGAATACACATTGTTTTCATCCGCATATATATCATTCTCAAGGGCAGATCATGTATTAGGTCACAAAACAAGTCTTAAAACACTAAAAAAAAAAAACTGAAATAATAGTCTCTGACCATAATGGAATAAAACTAAAAATTAATAAAATTAATTCTCCTAAAAAGGAATTTGGGAGACTATACGAACACATGGAAATTGGAAAATATGCTCCTGAATGGCCAGAAGACCGATGAAGAAATTAAGGAAATTGAAAAATGTTATAAAAAACAACAACAGGAAATACGAATGAGCCCTACAGTAACATTTTCAGGCCTCCTAGGTGGCGAAAAGCAGGAGAAGCAAGTTCTCGTGAAATCTCGAGAACTCCGCGAGGCTGAGGCTAGGGTTTTAGCCGAGAGCGGAAATGTACCTCGATAGAACTAAGAGAGCATTCAGCGCCCTGAGCTCCAAAGTAGAAGGACGCCCTCGTCCCAGGAGGTTAGGCCCCAGGGAGCGCGCAGTAGCCGCGGCGAAGATTGCGGCGTGAGAGGGAGGGCACACGTTGTACGTGCTGATGTGCTGACGTAGCAGGCGTTCGAGCGGGTGTATTAGATCCGTGGCCTCGCCGCTCCAGAGCCCGTGCTCCCGTGAGAGGGCCTTGGCGGTGGAACAAGCACTCGGTCAGCAGCGGAAGACTCCGAGTTCTCGGTACTCTCCAGGGATGAGTCATGTGGAGATGGAAAATGAGCTTGGACTGGACCAACAGTTTACAGGCCTAGACCTGAACTCTTCAGATAATCAGAGTGACGGTAGTATAGCCAGCAAAGGGCACTATATTCCTATTCATTTAAGGAATCAAGAAGCTACTAAAGGTTTCTACGATAAAGACAGTTCAGGGTGGAGTTCTAGCAAAGATAAGGATGCATATAGCAGTTTTGGATCTCTTAGTGATTCAAGCAGCGAAGTCTAGCTTCTTCAGTGTTCATGGAAGTGGATCAAGGGGAAGGTTTGATGATCATGGACGGAGTGATTATGACGGCATTGACAGCCGTGGTGACAGAAATGGCTTTGGCAAATTTGGACGTGGTGGAAACAGTCGCTGGTATGACAAATCAGATGAAGATGATTGGTCAAAACCACTCCCACCAAGTGGAACAGGAACTCTTTTCTGGAGGCAACACTGAGATTAATTTTGAGAAATATGATGACATTCCATTAGAGGCAACAAGCAACAACTGTCCTCCCCATACTGAAAGTTTCAGTGATGTTGAGATGGGAGAAATTTTCATGGGAAACGTTGAGCTTACTCATTATACTCACCTGACTCCAGTGCAAAAGCATGCTATACCTATTATTAGAGAAAAAAGACTTTTGATGGCTTGTGCCCAAACAGCGTCTGGAAAACCTGCAGCACTTCTCTTGCCCATCTTCAATCAGAGTTATTCATATGGTCCAGGCAAGGCTTTGAGGGCCATGAAGGAAAATGGAAGGTATGGACACTGCAAGCAATAACTCAATCTCCTTGGTATTAGCACCAACAAGAGAGTTGGCAATACAGATCTGTGAGGAAGCCAGAAAATGTTCATACCAATCTAGAGTTAGTCCTTGTTTATGATGGTACCAATATTGGTCAGCAGATTCTAGACTTGGAACGTGGATGCCACTTGTTAGTAGCCACTCCAGGATGTCTAATGGATATGATTAGAAGAGGAAAGATTGGATTAGACTTTTGCAAATTCTTGGTGTTAGATGAAGCTGATCAGATGTTGGATATGGGGTTTGAGCCTCAGATACATAGAATAGTTGAACAGATACTATGCCTCCAAAGGGTGTCCGCCACACTATGATGTTTAGTGCTACTTTTCCTGAGGAAATACAGATGCTGACTCGTGATTTCTTTGATGAATATATCTTCTTGGCTGTAGGAAGAGTTGGCTCTACCTCTGAAAACATCAGCACAAGTAGTTTGGGTGGAAGAATCAGACAAATGGTCATTCCTGCTTGACCTCCTAAATGCAACAGGCAAGGATTTACTGACTTTAGTGTTTGTGGAGACCAAAAAGGGTGCAGATTCTCTGGAGGATTTCTTATGCCATAAAGGATACGCATGTACAAGTATCCATGGAGGCAGTTCTCAGAGGAATAGCAAAGAGGCCCTTCACCAGTTCCACTCAGGAAAAGGCTCAATTCTAGTGGCTACAGCAGTAGCAGCAAGGGGACTGGACATGTCAAATGTGAAACATGTTATCAATTTTGACTTGCCAAGTGATACCGAAGAATATGTACATCACATTGGTCATACAGGACGTGTAGGTAACCTTGGCCTGGCAACCTTATTCTTTAATGAGAGGAACATAAATATTAATAAGGATTTGTTGGATCTTCTTGTTGAAGCTAAACAGGAAGTGCCATCTTGGTTAGAAAACATGGCTTATGAACACTACGAGGGTAGCAGGTGTGGATGTCCTGAGAGTCGCAGATTTAGTGGAGGGTTTGGTGCCAGAGACTACAGACAAAGTAGCAGTGACAGCAGTTCCAGCTTCAGCAGCAGCCCCACAAGCAGCAGCCCCACAAGCATCAGCCACAGTGGCAGAGGGGGCCACAGCAGCAGCGGTGGCCACAGCAGCAGCAGAGGATTCGGTGGAGGTGGCCATGGAAGCTTTTACAACAGTGAAGGAGATAGAGGAAATTATAATTCCCACGGGGTTGACTGGTGGGGTAACTGAGCCTGCTTTGCAGTAGGTCACCCTGCCAGACTATACCTTGTGTAATGTCAAGAACTCACAGTACATTACCACCTG